GCTTCAGTCTCTAAGGCGCCAGCCACATACACCTAAGGTGGTGGGTTTGAATCCAGCCCAGGCCCGCCAAAACAACAATGACGGCTGCAACCAAAAAATAGCCGAGTGTTGTGGCGGGCGCTTGTGGTCCCAGCTACTTAGGAGGCTGAGGCAGGAGACCCATTTGAGCTCAGGAGTTGGAGATTGCTGTGAGCTGTGATGCCACGGTACTCTACCCAGGGGGATAGCTTGAGGCTCCATCTCAAAAAAAAAGAAAAACTTCACAGCTCAGTGCCTGTTACTCTGTGGTTAGGACAGGCCACATACACTGGGGCTGGCAGGTTTGAACCCAGCCCGGGCCTGCCAAATAACAACGGCAACTACAACAACAAAACAAAAAATAGCTGGGCGTTGTGGTGGAGTGCCTGTAGTCCCAGTTACTTTGGAGGCTGAAGCAAGAGAATCTCTTAAAAGCCCAAGAGTTTGGAGTTGCTGTGAGCTGTAATGTCATAGTATTCTACAGAGAGCAACATACTAAAACTCTGCATCAAAAAAAAAAAAAAGGAAAGAAAAGAAAAAGAAAAACTTCACTTTGGCTGGGCATGGCGGATCACCTGAGTTCAGGAGTTTGAGACAAGCCTGAGCAAGACTGGGTCTTTAAAAACAGCAAGACATTGTGGCAAGCTACTCAGGAGGCTGAGGCAAGAGAATCACTAGAGCCCAAAAGTTTGAAGTTGCTGTGAGATATGATGCCACTTTACGAAACTCTGTCTCAAAATATAATACAAATGGGTGGCGCCTATGGCTCAAAGGAGTAGGGCACCGGCCCCATATGCCGGAAGTGGCAGGTTCAAACCCAGCCCCGGCCAAAAACTGCTAAAAAAATAAAAATAAATAAAGACTTCTTTTAAAAAATATATATATATATATAACAGAATTTTTTCAAAAAAGAAAATCATGGATTTATCATAAATCAATCACCTTGGAGTTAATAAAATACCTAGTAACGTAAACGGGAACGCCTGAAACATCTAACAGTATTCTCTCCCAGAAAGCTACGGTAAGAAATTTAACAGTAAAACTCTCAAAAACCTAAGAGCAGCCAGCTGTTAGTGGCTCATGCTTCTAATCCTAGCACTCTGAGAGGCCAAAGCTACATAAGCTCAGGAGTTTGAGACCAGATGAGCAAGAGCGAGACCCAATCTCTACTAAAAAAGAGGAAAAATTAGCCAGGCATAGTGGCAAGCACCTATAAGTCCCAGCTACTCAGGAGACTGAGGTAGGAGGATTGTTTGAACCCAGAAGTTTGAAGTTGCTGCATGGTGGGCTGGAACAATGGTTCTCTAGCCCAGGCAACAGAGTCGTCTGTCTACAAAGGGGGAAAAAAAAAAAAAGTGTCATGACACTAACATTTGTGTCATTTGAAGCACTAGTCCAGATAAAGGAAATTAAAGACATGAAGATTTGGGGCCAGCACAGTGGTCCATACCTGTAATCCCATCACTCTCAGAGGCCAAGGCAGGTGTATCACTTGAACTCACGAATTCGAGACCAGTCTGAGCAAGAGTGAGACCCCATCTCAAAAAAAATAGCCAGTCCAGGTGTGGTGGTGGCACCTGTAGTCCCAGCTACTCAGGAAGCTGAGGGAAGAGGATTGCTAAATCCAAGAGTTGCAGGTTACTATGTACTACAATGACACCAAGGCACTCTACCCGGGGCAACAGAGTAATACTGTCTCAAAAAAAAAAAAAAGAGAAATGGTATCTAAAGAGAAAGAGTGATTTCACTATGTGGGTCTTCCAGGGACACTGTCTAGAGGCACTCAGAAAGGTAGTGTTTGACATATCATTAGAGGGTTTTCCTACAAGACAACCTCTAACAAAACTAGGCTGTCTCAAATCCTTAGTAATAAAATTGTTTGCCCTTTATACCAAGAAGGTTGGGAAACACCAAATCTGCATGTGGCATGAGCCCAGACAGACTTCAAGGGGTTCATGCTGTGAAACCTAAAGTTCTTAGAAGGTTGTCTAAAAAAAAAAAAAAAAAAACATGCCAACAGGGCCTATGATGGTTCCACATGTACCAAACATATTCATGACAGGATCAAGCATGCTTTCCCTCTTGAGGAACAAAAAATTGTTGTCAAAGTGTTGAAGGCACAAGCACAGAGTCAGAAAGCTAAATAATAAAATGAAGCTTTGGGGCAGTGCCTGAGGCTCAATGAGTAGGATGCCAGCCCCATATACTGAGGATGGCAGGTTTGAACCCAGCCCTGGCCAAACTGCAACAAAAAAATAGCTGGGTGTTGGCTCGGAGCTTGTGCCTCAAGCTAAGGCACCAGCCACATACACATGAGGGGACGGGTTCAAATCCAGCCCAGGCCCGCCAAACAACGACACCTTCAACCAAAAATTAGCCGGGCATTGTAGTGGGCACCTGCAATCCCAGCTACCAGGGAGGCGGAGGCAGGAGAATCGCTTGAGCCCAGGAGTTGGAGGTTGCTGTGAGCTGTGATGTCACAGCACTCTACTGAGGGCAACAGAATAAAACTCTGTCTCTTAAAAAAAAAAAAAAGAAAGAAAGAAAAAGAAAATAAAGGTTTTTAAATAAAAATTAAAAGACTTAAAAAAAATTTCACCATGTGGATGTTTATCATTATGCCTATGCAATTTCCAAGTGGCTCTCAAGCAGTGGTTCTCAACCTTCCTAAATGCCACGGCCCTTTAATACAGTTCCTATGAGTATTGAGGGTTGAGAACCACTGCTCTAGAGTGTGAGCATTGCTAAAGTTCTGTGATCCTAATGTTTAAAGATGTGGTTATAGCCTTAGTATCACAGGAGAAAAAGTTTACTTTTCCTTTTCTTCTCCATTTGTCTGCCTCTTTTGTAATTTCAAAATAACATAAAAACATAATTTACACATATTTTTTGAATGCTCATTACAATATACTGTATTATGCTGTTTACCCAAAACCATGTACAGTGGTTACTCTTAAAACAACTTAAGAGTAGATCTGTGAACACAACATGGAGGTTAGGGGCACCAGCCCCCTGTATAATCAAAAATCCATATATTTTTGGCTCCCCCCAAAATTTACTGCTAATAGCCTTCTATTGACCAGAAGCCTTACGGATAATAGTCAATTACACATATTGTGTACACATTTGTATACGTATTTTACAGTACATTCTTACAATCAAGTGTTATTGCTAAACTCTACACTAGGTAGAGTGCCTAGGACAGAAAATATTATTGCTAAAATCATAAAACATACATATTTCTTATTCCCTAAATGGAAATGAATATAAAAGTCTTCATCCTCATCATCTTCACATTGAGTAGGAAGAAGAGGATTTGGTCTTGCTATATCAGGGGTGACAGAGGCAAAAGAAGTAAAGGAAGCTGAGGAGGAGGTAGGAGAGGCGGGTACATTCAGTATAACTTTTATTGAAAAAACTGCATTTTTATCACTTATTCAAATACCTGAGATTCAGTCAGTAAATAAATAGGATTATCTTTTTTTTTTTGAGACAGAGCCTCAAGCTGTCCCTCTGGGTACAGAGTGCTATGGCATCACAGCTCACAGCAACCTCCAACTCCTGGGCTTAAGCGAGTCTCCTGCCTCAGCCTCCCAAGTAGCTGGGACCACAGGCGCCCACCACAACACCCGGCTATTTTTTTGGCTGCAGCTGTCATTGTTGTTTGGCGGGCCCGGACTGGATTCGAACCTGCCACCTTAGGTGTATCTGGCTGGTGCCTTAGCCTGAGCCACAGGCACCAAGACATAAAGGAGACTATTTTAAGAAGGGTCAGAGCCGGCACGGTGGCTGACGCCTATAATCCTAGTACTCTGGGAGACCAAGGGAAATAGACCGCCTGAGCTCAGGAGTTTGAGACCAGCCTGAGCAAAGGCGAGAACTCATTTCTGCTAAAAACAGAAAAATTAAGTTGGGTGTTTTAATGGACACCTGTAGGCCCAGCTACTTGGAAGGCAGAGGCAAGATAATCCCCTGAGCCCAAGAAATTGAGGTTGCTCTAAGTTATGTTACAGCACTCTACCTAATGCACAGAGTGACACTGTTTCAAAAAAAGAAAACAAAAGAATAAGCTTTTCGAAAAATAACATTTTTAGCAAAGTGTGAATAAAATGGAAAAGACTTCTGACAACCTGAGAAGAATTCTCTAAAAGGAACAAGACCAAAGTCTTTGACACAGGGTGAAGTTGGCCGTATTATAAAACAGCAGATGTAGCATGAGTTTCAGTTTTAACATGAATGTTTAACAGTCAAAAACAAACCAAGAAAGGTTTTACAAAGCATCAAACCAAGTTCCATGTGGCCACAAAACAATATTTTAATTTAATTCCTAAATTATCTGAATGATCTCAATCAGTATCTGACAGCACCAGACAATAAAGAAATATAAAGAACATAATAGCCCAAAAAAAAAAATTATTTTTTTTTAGAGACAGTCTCAGTCTCATTTTGTTGCCCTCAGTACAGTGCCGTGGAGTCACAGCTCACAGCAACTTCCAGCTCTTAGGCTTAGGCGATTCTCTTGCCTCAGCCTCCCAAGTAGCTGGGACTATAGGCACCCACCACAACGTCCAGCTATTTTTTTGTTGCAGTTTAGCCAGGGCCAGGTTTGAACCCACCACCCTTGGTATATGGTGCCAGTGCCCTACCCACTGAGCCACAGGCACTGCCCCAAATTAAAGTTTCTTAAAGAGTTAACTTTAAGTTACTAAGATTTTGCTTTGCATATATGTTTGGTGAGATGAATGAAAATTATAACAGAAAACATTTCCAAACTTTAAATATGAAATGACAGACTGATGTTTGTGGAAAGTACATGACTCCTAATTTCTATCGGTACACAAAAATTCCTTATTTATATTCACTGAATATTTATTCAATACCTACTTACCATGTGCCTGTATCAACTGCAAAGAAAAGACAATTTCAGAACAGGAAGTGGCCCTTATGTAACTGAATAGAAGGACAAGATGCTTCAAACTTACGTTGTTAGCAAGAACGCCCCATCACCACATCTTTCTAGAGCCTTTCGTGCAGGAGGTTTTGCTGCAAATTCTACGAAACCTTTTCCTGTAGCTCTACCACGATCATCCACTACGACAACAGCTTTCTCGACTGGGCCAAACTGGGAAAATGCTTGCTCTAGAAGCTCATTGGAAACAACTGGAGAAAGGTTCTTGACAGTTAAAGCTGCTCCATGTGTGGCAAAACGAATTCGGAGAGGTCTGCTCTTCAAAATGGTGCCGTCCAGCTCTGCTTTTGCAATCTCAGCCAGGGTTCTGGATTCCTTTTTAGGAAGAAAAGCCAGTTTTTAAATATGACGATAGCACAAAAATATTTGCCATAGTTGTTCATTTCTAGGGGGAACTGGGCACCTTAAGGAAATAGCTGATAGGGTCGCTTTGGTTTTGTATCTTTTTTTTTTTTTGGCAGTTTTTGGCTGGGGCTGGGTTTGAACCCACCACCTCCAGCATATAGGACTGGTGCCCTATTGAGCCACAGGCGCCACCCTGGTTTTGTATCTTTTAATTTTGGTATAACAGGGTTTCGATTAACTATTCAAAGATTATTTTAAACATTGTAAGTAAAAAGTCACAACACCACCATCTCATTAGAAGTCATTGCTTAGGCTCGGCGCCTATAGCTCGGCCGGCTAAGGCGCCAGCCACGTACACCTAAGGTGGCGGGTTCGGATCCCCAGCCCGGACCCGCCAAACAACAATGACGGCTGCAACCAAAAAATAGCCGGGCGTTGTGGCGGGCGCCTGTGGTCCCAGCTACTTGGGAGGCAGAGGCAGGAGACTCGCTTGAGCCCAGGAGTTGGAGGTTGCTGTGAGCTGTAATGCCATGGCACTCTACCCAGGGGGAAAGCTTGAGGCTCTGTCTCAAAAAAAAAAAAAAAAAAAAAAAAAGAAGTCATTGCTTAATAATAAACATTCTGGCTCAGCGCCCATAATCCAGTGGTTAGGGCTCTGGCCACATACACCAGGACTGGGGGGGGTTGAAACCAGCCTAGGCCTGCTAAACAATGACAACTGCAACAAAAAAATAGCCCAGCATTGCAGTGGGCACCTACAGTCCTGCTACTTGGGAGGCTGAGGCTAGAGAATTGTTTAAGCGCAAGAGTTTGAAGGTGCTGTGAGCTCTCTACCAAGACTGACAAAGTGAGACTCCTTCTCCAAAAATAATAACAATTATTATTAAACATTCACGAACAAGTTAGCAGCTATTAAATATTCAAAGCAATACTATTTTCTTGTTTTTTTTTTCTTTTTTTGAGACAGAGTCTCACTTTGTCTCCTTGATAGAGTACCATGGCATAACAGCTAACTGCAACCTCAAACTCTTAGGCTCTAGAGATCCTCTTGCCTCAGCCTCACACAGAGTTGGGCCATCCAGCTCTGTTTTTGCAATCTCAGCCAGTGTTCTGGATTCCACCACAATGAGTCTCACTCTTGCTTAGGCTGGTCTTAAACTCCTGAGCTCAGGCAATCCACTAGCTCTGGCATCCCAGAATGCTATGATTACAAGCGTGAGCCACTGTGCCTGGCCAAACCAACACTGTTTTAAAATCTCCTACATATATTAAAGAAACACATGCTACTTTTTAAGACCAAGTACCAACTACTAGAAACTACCACTGAAGAATTCTCTATATACTCTCCAAGTTTGATATTTATATCTTAATAAACATTCCACCTCTCCATTGACAAATATCCTTTTTATTTACTTTTCTCTTTTGTACTATCTGTAAAAACTATTATAATTTTTAATTTCTTCTGAAATACTTGTATGGGCTACACATCTCACATGACAAGCAACAGCACACATTCATGAGCTGTAAGACTTCTCTCCGTTATCTAGTGAAGTATACATACGCACTTGTTTTCACAAACTAAAAAATATGTTTATTGCTAGACTCACAAAAGAACTTCCTCTACTTAAATTCACAACAGCATGAAATTACTGCCCTTGTGCAAAAAATAATTCTACCTATATAATTATTTTTACAAAGACAAATGAAGTTAACCTTCTTACAGTACAGTCAGCCTATCATATCCAAAGATTCAACAATGGACCAAAATTAATTTGAGAAAAAATAATAATACAAACAAACAAGGGCCTCAGACAGTGGCACGCACCTAATCCTAGCACTTTGGGAGTTCAAAGCAGGATGACTGCTTAAAGTCAGAAGGTCAAAACCAGCCTGAGCAAAAGCAATACTTTGTCTCTACAAAAAAATAGAAAAAGCCCAGTATGGTGGTACCAGCCTATAGTCCCAGATACTCAGGAGGCTAAGGAAGGAGGATGACTTGAGCTCACAATTTGAAGATGCCTGTGGACTCAGCCCAGGCTGATCAAGACCCTGAGTCAAAAATAAACAAACAATACAGATCCTTCTGTAGTTCTTAAGGGTAATGAATAAGTTTCCATGTGCACGTGTGAGATGTTTCCCAAAAACTTTATTATGAAGTTGGCGTACTACTCTTCTGTCAAGAGGGAGGAACCAATACAGTGTACTGTTTAGGTAGCAAATGCATTTTATTAGAACTAGGTATTATAAGTAACCTAGACAAGACAAAGTATACAGGACTGGACTTTACAGGTTATGTGCAAATATTATGACATTTTCATACAATATAAGGGACTTTGAGCATTCATGAATTTTGGTATTAGGAGAGGTCCTAGAACCAAACTTCTGTGGATACTGCAGAATGTATTCAAAACATTTTGTCTATTATTCTTAACTCAATTAATAGTAGTAATATAGGCAGTATCAGCAGCAGCAACAAGCATTTAATACCTAAAAATGGAAGATTACTTTGTTACCTAACATGTCATATAACTCAAAAACTCTTAAGAGCCAGATTTTAGGAATGAGTCTCGAATTAAAATGCTGTCCGGCAGAAGCAGGAATCGGAAGAGACAAAAAACTTTGGTAGAATGATGATAATCTTCTGTATTTTAGTTAGCGTTTGAGTCAGACACACACATTTGTCAAAATTCGCCAACCACTACACTTAAAATTTGTGCCTTTCATGGTTTGCAAATTTCAACTAGCCTAAAAAATAACAGCAGACGTTAGTTAATAATAAGCATGCTGGGCTTGGTGCCTGTGGCTCAAGCGGCTAAGGCGCCAGCCCACATACACCTAAGGTGGCGGGTTCGAATCCCCAGCCCGGGCCCGCCAAACAACAATGATGGCTGCAACCAAAAACAATGGCCAGGCGTTGTGGCGGGTGCCTGT